TCAGTCTCAGCGGCAGCTCGTAAACCAACAGGTATTACACATGATGACTACGCAGTAGTCACGTCTGATTCCTGATGTTTATGAAAATGTGTTTTACTTGCCACTGAGTTTACCAGTCATCTTATTATGTCTTACATCTACAAGCACTGTATGGCACTTTGCCTGGAATTTTTGGGTTATCCTAGGTAATTTACACTATGTAAATTACTATGTAAATTAGCTGAAGGGGGTGGGGGAGTTTCGGTGGGGGGAAATAAATGGGATTAAATCCTGGAGTATCTGAGAGAGTTAGAGCAAAGGAAGGGGTAGCAGTAATGTTGAATGATCAGTTATGGAAGGAGAAAGAGAATATGAATGTGTAAATTCAAAAATTATGTGGATTAAAGTAAAGGTTGGATGGGGAGAAGTGGTCATAATAAGCGTGTATGCACCTGGAGAAGAGAGGAATGCAGAGAGAGAGAGAGTTTTTGGGGATGTTAAGTGAATGTATAGGAGCCTTTGAACCAAGTGAGAGATTTAATTGTGGTAGGGGACCTGAATGCTAAAGTAGGAGAAACTTTTAGAGAGGGGTGTGGTACGTAAGTTTGGGGTGCCAGGTGTAAATGATAATGGGAGCCCTTTGATTGAACTTTGTATAGAAAGGGGCTTAGTTATAGGTAATACATATTTTAAGAAAAAGGGGATAAATAAGTTATAAGATATGATGTAGGCGAAATGACATAGTTTGTTGGATTATGTAAATTTGGGAAAATAAAAGACTGTTGAGTAGACTTCAGGATGTACATGTTTATAGAGGGGCCACAGATATATCAGATCACTTTCTAGTTGTAGCTACACTGAGAGTAAAAGGTAGATGGGATACAAGGAGAATAGAAGCATCAGGGAAGAGAGAGGTGAAGGTTTATAAACTAAAAGAGGAGGCAGTTAGGGTAAGATATAAACAGCTATTGGAGGATAGATGGGCTAATGAGAGCAAGGCATTGGGGTCGAAGAGGTATGGGGTAGTTTTAAAAATGTAGTGTTTTGAGTGTTCCGCAGAAGTTTTGGTTACAGGAAAGTGGGTGCGGGAGGGAAGAGATCGATTGGTGGAATGATGATGTGAAGAGAGTATAAGGAGAAAAAGTTAGCATATGAGAAGTTTTTACAAAGTAGAAGTGATGCAAGGGGGGGAAGAGTATATGGAGAAAAAGAGAGAGGTTAAGAGAGGTGAAGCAATATAAAAAGAGAGCAAATGAGAGAGTGGGGGAGATGTTATCAACAAATTTTGTTGAAAATAAGAAAAAGTTTTGAGTGAGATTAACAAGTTAAGAAAGCCTAGAGAACAAATGGGTTTGTCAGTTAAAAATAGGAGAGGAGAGTTATTAAATGGAGAGTTAGAGGGATTGGGAAGATGGAGGGAATATTTTGAGGAATTGTTAAATGTTGATGAAGATAGGGAAGCTGTGATTCGTGTATAGGGCAAGGAGGAACAACATCTAGTAGGAGTGAGAGGCTCAAGTTAGAGTATGTAGGAAAGAGGGAAATTATTTCCCAGTAAAAGTAGCGCTTAGACAAGGATGTGTGATGTCACCGTGGTTGTTTAATATATTTATAGATGGGGTTGTAAGAGAAGTAAATGCGAGGGTCTTGGCAAGAGGCGTGGAGTTAAAGTGGGAGTTGTCACAGTTGCTCTTTGCTGATGACACTGTGCTCTTGGGAGATTTTTGAAGAGAAGTTGCAGAGATTGGTGGATGAATTTGGTAGGGTGTGGCAAAAGAAAAAATTGGAAGTGAATACAGGAAAGAGTAAGGTTATGAGGATAACAAAAAGATTAGGTGATGAAAGATTGGATATCAGATTGGAGGGAGAGAGTATGGAGGAGGTGAATGTATTCAGGTATTTGGGGAGTGGACGTGTCAGCGGATGGGTCTATGAAAGATGAGGTGAATCATAGAATTGATGAGGGGAAAAGGGTGAGTGGTGCACTTAGGAGTCTGTGGAGACAAAGAACTTTGTCCTTGGAGGCAAAGAGGGGAATGTTATGAGAGTATAGTTTTACAACGCTCTTATATGGTGTGAAGCATGGGTGATGAATGTTGCAGCGAGGAGAAGGCTGGAGGCAGTGGAGATGTCATGTCTGAGAGCAATGTGTGGTGTGAATATAATGCAGAGAATTCGTAGTTTGGAAGTTAGGAGGAGGTGCGGGATTACCAAAACTGTTGTCCATAGGGCTGAGGAAGGGTTGTTGAGGTGGTTTGGACATGTGGAGAGAATGGAGCGAAACAGAATAACTTCAAGAGTGTATCAGTCTGTAGTGGAAGGAAGGCGGGGTAGGAGTCGGCCTAGAAAGGTTGGAGGGAGGGGTAAAGGAGGTTTTGTGTGCGAGGGGCTTGGACTTCCAGCAGGCATGCGTGAGCGTGTTTGATAGGAGTGAATGGAGACAAATGGTTTTTAATACTTGACGTGCTGTTGGAGTGTGAGCAAAGTAACATTTATGAAGGGGTTCAGGGAAACTGGCAGGCCGGACTTGAGTCCTGGAGATGGGAAGTACAGTGCCTGCACTCTGAAGGAAGGGTGTTAATGTTGCAGTTTAAAAACTGTAGTGTAAAGCACCCTTCTGGCAAGACAGTGATGGAGTGAATGATGGTGAAAGCTTTTCTTTTTCGGGCCACCCTGCCTTGTGGGAATCGGCCAGTGTGATAATAAATAAATAAAAAAAAGTATTATTGTACAGTGGTACCTTGGGATACAAACTTAATTTATTCCAGATGGCTGTTCGATGTGCCGATACCGAATGAATTTGTTCCATAAGGAATAATGTAAATTAGATTTATCCATTTCAGACCCCCAAAAATACACTTACAGAAGCACTAAATAAATACATACACTTACATAATTGTTCGAGTTTTGAGCTGCTCATATCCCGAAGTACCACTGTATTTATGTGTACATGTGAGAGAGAGAGAGAGACAAAGATATAGTGATATAGACAGATATAGACAGAGATATAGATAGACAGAGGTATAGTCAGATACAGAAGACAGTGAAAGCCAACCAGCCTGCTGAATACATATTACACATGTTCCAGAATCATTTTTATAGTGTATAGGATATTCTGGCAGGATGACACTACCAGCGATTTAAAAAAAATGAAAGGATGTTGCACAATGTTACACATGGGCTATTATCGAGGTTATTGATATTCCTCGACCACTTGAGCCACATCCATCACTTTTCCTCTTAAAAGGGGAGTGTTAATATGACATTACATCAGTGAATCCCTGGTGTTTGCTGCACTATTTGCTCTAGCTGGCACTCAGTTGAATTGGTGCTCCCATAAGGTACTAAGTGGTCCCAGACTTTTTTTAATACTGCGCACACCAAGTGTTAAGACCCATTCTATACTGACCAGGCATCTCAGGCCAATCATGCCAAATTTGGAGGCAGGAAAAATAAAATGTAACTCTATGTTTGGAGGCATTAGCGGTACAAACGTAGATCTATGTTTAGACAGTTTAAGGTTAAATAAGGTTGATGTGAGAGGAAGTGAGGAGAATTTTCACCTAGTGGAGCAGTACTCAAAGAGATGAAGATGAACACAGTTTAAAAAGAATCAGGAGGGATGGAAGCAGTTTCAGATGTATCTTATAGATCCAGGAATAGGGTTAAGAGTATCAGTAGTTCTTGTACGTGTCATGCATGAACAATAGAATGGGTTTCTAGGATGCTCCAGTACTTGTACAGGTCCTTCTACACCCTCAAAGAGTTCCATGAGCTTTTGAAGACACGACGAATTATAGGAATTATATATGTAGATGGGAAAATGTCCATCACCAGTTTCAGGATGGGGGACAAGGAAGGAGTGCCAACTGACACTGAGCAGGAAGGTGTTGGGAATGATATCCCCTCAAGGATCCGAACAAAGAAAATTTGTTGCTGTTCAAGGAAGGTGAATAACAGCACATGTCCACAGGGCTGTAGATAATGATTAGTGTGTTGCTTCAGCATTTAAGAAAGAACACCAGATGATGATGTAAACACTGGTGTAATACTTATGCTGCAAAACCATAAGAGGCAGAGGTGGTGGGATGAATGTACTGAAAGTAGAGGACAGTACCTTTTGAAGATTATTTGGTATCATTGTTTTATTATACATATAATGTAAATTGCCATAGTGGTTTGGTGCTACTTCCAAACTTATCCTAATGAAAGAAAACCATATGAGGTGCTGGGAAGAAAACTGATAAACTTGCCAAAAGTTGCCTTTCAGAAAATCACAGACTTTTACAACATATTTGCAACAGTATCTTGTAACCAACCATACAGTTTTCATCAAATTAGTCATATTTTGAAGCAAGTTAAGGTGGTGTAGTGAGTACAATTGTTTGTGTCCTTGGGAGACAAATCACTGTTTTGGATTGATTGTGTGGTCAAACATCTCTTTATTCTTAAGGGAAAAGATGGGTTAAAAGTGACACCGTCACCAATCTGAGTGGTATATATTATACTTGAAAGAATGATGAGCATTTTGTATAGAAAATGCAGTTTTTGCTCTCTGTCAATTTGTCAATTTTTCTCTCAGTTTCTTGTATCATGTAATGTGAAAGATAATACCTATAAATTAAGTAGATTATTACCCAACTAATTATTCATTTACAGTGATAACCCTTGTAGTCTTAAGTTAGGCTTCATCTTGCCCAGAATGCACTGCATAACTATGGCTTGCAACATGCTCTCAAGGCAGAGACAGTTCAACTAATGAAACTAATGAAGCTTGAACTTCAGGGCCCCTAATCCTGGAAGGGCCTCAGAAGTGACTTTAGTCCACATTGCTTAAAAATTTTTTGGTCTACTGTATGAGAAGAGGTTACAAAGGGGCCCCCATAACAGTTCAGACTTCAGGGGCCCAAAAACATAGGTCTGCCACTGCTCAAGTGTTACCTATTTCTGTATAAACAATATAACATGTTGAAATAAACTTGTATAATGGTCTGGCTTTGACTCCTTGTTTTTTTTTCCAGGATGGATAAGAGTGCTGAAACCCACGAATATATTGGAAAGGTTGAGAAGCATGTGTCACAGAAGGACTATGCCGCAGGTTTGGTGGCAAATATGGCATCCAGTCGGATCGTCAGGATCGTTCTGCCGTTGGATGGGATCACATAGAAAAAGTCGATAAGCATGAGAGTCAAAAAGGTTAGTCATCTTGGCATTCTTCTCCATTCTAATTGTCTCTCACAGTTTTAACTACACACATAATATTATTATGTAATGACTAACTCACTCTAACACACAATTAGAAACTTGTATATTATAAATGAATTGCATTAATATTTACAGTTTTGAGAGTAGGGGGCTGGTAAACCCTTCTCCTGTATAAATTAGCAAATTTAAAAAAGGAAAGCTTTTGTTTTTCTTTTTAGGTCACCCTGCCTTGGTGGGATATGGCCGGTTCATCAAAAAAGAAAAGTTATTTCCTTAATTTAAATAATCATTTCAAATCCTCCAGAAGAGAACATAAAAGTCAACTCATTAATAATATTTTTGATAATGATGAATATGACTTAAACACACACTGTGTTTCCCTCCTGTTCGTTATAGATTACTCAAAGGGATTTGGAGGAAAATTGGTGTTGAGAAAGAGCGCCAAGATAAGTCGGCCTTAGGCTGGGACCATGTACAGGATGTTGAGAAACATGGTTCTCAGATTGGTAAGCTTGTTGTAGGTTCACCCTCATGGTTCATTGTTGTAGAACCCTGACCATGTGTTGTAGGTCACCACCACCCAGATCACTGTTGTAGAACCCTGACCACTGTTGTAGGTTCACCACCATGGTTGACTGTTGTAGAACCCTGACCAGTGTTGCAGGTTAGCCCCATGGTTCACTGTTGTAGAACCCTGACCAGTGTTGTAGGTTCACCCCCATAGTTCACTGTTGTAGAATCCTGAACAGTGTTGTTGTACTCTGACCAGCATTGTAGTACCTTGACCAATGTGTAGTATGCTGACCAGCATTGTAGTACCTTGCCCAGTGTTGTAGTACCATGACCAGTGTTGTAGTACCTTGACCAGTGTTGTAGGGTCACCCCCCATGATTCACTGTAATAGTACCATGACCAGTGTTGTACCCCAACAGTGTAGTAGTATCCTGACCAATGTTTGTAGAACCTTGACCAGTGTTGTTACCCCAACCATGTAGTAGTATCCTGACCAATGTTGTAGAACCTTGACCAGTGTTGTAGTACCCTGACCAGTGTTTTAGTATTCTGACCAATGTTTTAGTACCCTGACCAGTGTTGTATGTATGCTGACCAGTGTTGTAGAATTACTCCCATGGTTCAGTGTCGTATCCTGACCATTGTTGTAGTACCCTGACCAGTGTTTTTACTACCTGATGAGTGTTTGTAGTACCTTGACCAGTGTTGTAGAACCTTCACCAGTGCTGTTGTACCCTGACCAGTGTTGTAGTATTCTGACCAGTATTGTAGAACCTTGACCAGTGTTGTAATACCCTGACCAGTGTTTTAGTATTCTGACCAATGTTTTAGTACCCTGACCACTGTTGTAGTATGCTGACCAGTGTTATAGAACCTTCACCAGTGTTGTTGTACCCTGACCATTGTTGTACATGATTCCTGTGGTTCACTGTTGTAGTGTCCTGACCAGTGTTGTAGTACCATGACCAGTGTTGTTGTACCCTTACCAGTATTGTAGTACCCAGACCAGTGTTGTAGTACCCTGACCAGTGTTGTAGTACCCTGACCAGTGTTGTAGTACCTAGACCATCATTGTAGTACCATGACCATCATTGTAGTACCCTGACTAGTGTTGTAGTACACCAACCAGTGTTGTACACTGACCAGTGTTGTACACACTGACTAGTGTTGTAAGGTCATGCCTATGGTTATTGTTGTAGTACTTGTGACCAGTGTTGTGGTACACTAACCAGTGTTGTTGAGCACTGACCAGTTTTGTTGTACCCTGACCAATGTTGTAGGATCACTCCCACGGTTTATTGTTGTAGTACCCTGTTACGCTTTCTATTGCGTAACTTAAGTAAAAAGTCCTGGCTCCTAAAGGGTAAATGATCTAGCAAGTCTTGGGGCATTTAAATTATTTAACATTGAAAAAGAAACCACTCTCGTGCCAGCTTGCACCTTCACATTAAAATGTGGAACATTAATTAGTCAAATATATTATTATAAGGAAGGACACAAAAACTCACCTCTACAATTTTATATAATATATTAATAGTAACGTATATACAACGTACAATCTACGCCACTACAACCAACATCACCACACTCCAGTTCACCTTTACCCAGTACCCACATTAGTTCACTACCACACTGCTACTTTACCCAGTACCCACATTAGTTCACTACCACACTGCTACTTTACCCAGTACCCACATTAGTTCACTACCACACACTGCTACTTTACCCAGTACCCACATTAGTTCACTACCACACTGCTACTAGTGAGTAAAACAAAATATTATAAACATTTGTAAACAGGGAGGCTCCGTGACACCTCTGTTCCTTTCTGCCAGTATGTCTGCCAACAGCAAAAACACTATACAAGTACTCTCCCAAAATCTAAACAGGTCTCTAGGGCCTTCCCAGTAAGCATGAGACCCACTTCAACACAAATAAAATTACCTATGTATACAATAAAAAAAAAACTTGCTGCTTCACCTACTCACACCACTACATCTTTCTTCCTCTGCTGTGCTTCACCTACTGCACAAACACCTCACTGTCTCCCCTGACAACTTTAAATTTAGAACTTTGCTAAAAAACCCATCTCTTTCCTCTCAATATTAACCTTAAACAGGGTCCTAGGCCAAAATCTGAAGTGGTGCCCCAGTGTCCAAGAATTTTCAAAAAAAAAAATTTTTATTTTTTTTTATGAAAGGTAGAGAATCTTTTTGTGAAGGTAATAAAACAAAAAGAACGAAATTTGATGGAAAATTGACGAAATTATGCCTCAAAACGGAATTTTGATGTGTCAGCGATATTTATGAATCGGCGATTTTGCCGACTTTGACTCCCATTTTAGGCCAATTACAATATTTCCCGTCGACCAAATTTCTTAGCTATTGCACTAGTATTACTTCTATTCTATCGATTTAGCCCCAAGAAATTGCCAAGTCAACTGTTTCACAAAAAAATCAAGCGATCGGAAATTGGTAATTAGGCCAATTTAACACAAAGTTCAAAATATTCCAATTTCAAAATAGGGTCCAGAATAAACAATGTGGGTATTCCTGGCACTAAACAAACATTTCCTCTGTTTATTAGTTAGTTTTGAGGCTTTACAAATAAATTCCATTTGATTTTTTATTCACATAATGAATTTTTTTTTCACCCCAAAAAAATAGAAGATTTACTGTTATGCAAAAATGTAATAATTGTAAAATATAAATCACCACATTTGTGAATGTATGTTAGACCCACCAGCTGGCTTTGTATTAGACGTGTGGGGTCGTTTGTTTACTCTTGAACATGGGCAAAAATTTAACATTTCCGCTACTTTGAGCTCAGTTCCAAGCCATTTCCAGTGCTAAAACCCAAATGAAAATCATCTCTATTTCTGTAATATGTTTTCCATTCTATCAATGAGACCAAGAAATCGCAAATACAACTATAAAAAACATATGAAAAAACGCTGCAAAGTCGCTGTTTTAATCGAAAATCACGGTCTCATTTTTTTTTCTCTCATTATACACAGTGGGGCAGCAGGATTTGTCTTATGAGGTGCACACATACCACATAAATGTATTCTCTCATATCTGGGCCCAAGTTTACCACTCACAGTTTACCAGAGTGAGCTGGGCTCATGGCGTAGATCTACGGTTTGGGACCCTGAACGTAAAGCGTAGACCTATGGGACGGACCCTGAAAGGGGTTAACCAAATGAACCAAAACATCTGGTAATTAGTTTTTATTATATGACCTCCAGGCTTTTTTTTTTTTTTTAGCAAGTCAGGCCATCTCCCACAGAGACCCGGGTGACCCAAAAAGAAAGAAAATCCCCAAAAAGAAAATATTTTCATCATCATTCAACACTTTCACCTCACTCACACATAATCACTGTTTTTGCAGAGGTGCTCAGAACATAACAGTTAGAAGCATATACGTATAAAGATACACAACATATACCTCCAAACTGCTAATATCCCGAACCCCTCCTTTAGAGTGCAGGCATTGTACTGACGCAAAAATTGAACATTTCCAGTACTTTGAGCACAATTTCAAGGTACTTTTCATCATGAAAGCAATCAAAATCATGTCTATTTCTGTAATATATCTTCCATTCTATTAAATGAGTCCAAAAAAATGAGAATACAACCATAAAAACATACAAAAATATACTGCAAAGAGGCGGCTAATGGCTGAGAAGTGAACTCCCTTATTTATCGTCCGTCTTTTTTATTTTTGTTGTACGTTAAGAAGCAGCTTTCCATCATACATTGCCCAAGTTTCAATGAGATAGCCAACCAAACAACCGAGAAAAAAAATATTTACCAAAAATCATATATGGCAAGCCCAAGCCAGGTACTGGAAATAAGTCACTTTGTCTGACTTTTAGGGGTTATCCTGGGTTCTCTATACATACGCTGCTATTTATGATAATCTATGTAACTGTATTTGTGTATACCTGAATAAACTTATTTACTGCTAGTCTGTTAACTGAGTACAAGAAACCACCCATTCACTTATTTCAACTACCCAATAAAGTGGTCAGAAATTGGCATTTTGGCTGATTTCACACAAATTTCAACAGATGCCAATTTCAAAATAGGATCCAGAATAAACAATGCAGACATTCCTGGCACTAAAATAACATTTTCTCTGTTCATTAATCACGGCTACAGGCCCCTCTTATATTACTCTTGCTTACCATTTGGAATTTTTATTCACACAAAAAAATAGAAGATTTACTGTTCTGCAGACTACTGAATTATTGTAATAATTGTATAAATAATGTCAACCCAGAATACGTATTGGAATTTGGACTGGCAGGCGGACAGGTATTGGACGGTGACGCCATTTGTTTACTCTTGAGCTTCGCTAAAGAACACAACATTTTTGCTACTGTGAGCACAATTTCAAGGTACTTTTTGTCATGAAAGCAATCAAA